GATCGTCTAAGTTGGCCCCGGCACCTTCGTTGCTAATATCTTCACCGGCTTTTGTTTAGATACCGATACCACGCTCTCTCGTTAGCCGTTTGGAGGCAGGACGAGTGTCGAGGGTTCGGTTTACATGCTGCCAAGAGCATCGCAGGCCTTACCTCTCTATCAGCCCACTACTTCTTCCCTTCACAGTCCTGAAGCGGCGGCGTCACAAAATATTTCAGTGAATTTGGTAACTTACAGGGAATGCTCAGTGGCAAGTTCACTCGGTCATGTGATGCCATGTTTACCTACTTCTGATTAGGTAACAATGAAAGGCAAGCCCACAGATAAATGGTCAACGATTGGCACACAAACACATGAGCGCATACAAACCATGGCCTAATGAATCTATGAGAAAATTAGTTGACCACGAGGAGGGAAAAAAGCATGCATCATGCTCCACAAGTCACTCGTGAAAATGCTAGAAGAAAGGAATCGAAGTATCAGTTGCGGGAAGGAACAGAGTTCAACAACAAGTGATAGATGATACTATCCCTAGGCAATCGTGATAAATCCTGACATCAACCTGCACCACTATGTAGAAGGGTGTAGAGAGAATCCACTATACCTCTCGTGCTCAACATCAAACGCACCCATTAGTGTCGGTTTCGAAAAATATCTTGTAAGAAATTACAACACATTTACATATACTTCAAGCGATAAGCCTAAACGGTGAGCGTAAATTTCTGGGTGTAAATTCTCCATCAGTTCACAGTGATCGTACCCACGAATCGGTAGATAATTGTACCCTGGTGTGTGGAAATCCTGTCCCCCAACAGGCCCACCGCGCGGCGAAGCAAGAGACGCAGACGCGGCAAAGGGACGAGTCGCAGCGCATACTGTAGCGGTTAGGCGTCAGGTTAAAGAGAGTGTACCATACTACGTCTCATATCGCACAGCACGCGCTGCAACTCGTCTCTTTGCCGCATCTGCGTCTCTTGCTTCGCCGCGCGTGGGCCTGTTGGGGGACACCAAATCACTGGTTCAACCCAAACAGGCCCACCGCGCGGCGAAGCAAGAGACGCAGACGCGGCAAAAGGACGAGTCGCAGCGCATACTGTAGCGGTTAGGCGTCAGGTTAAAGAGAGTGTACCACACTACGTCTCATATCGCACAGCACGCGCTGCAACTCGTCCTTTGCCGCATCTGCGTCTCTTCCTTCGCCGCGCGGGCCTCTTGGGGACATCCGAAACCAGCAAGGAAGAGTAAGCAATGTCAGCCCTTTGGCGGTCGGCTGAAGAACCGTTCTGAATGTTGGGTAGGACATGGGAGCCACGTCGACGGTTTACTTCAACTCGGTTGTACGATAGGAGAGTACTGACGCAAGTGGTGCAGCTGGTCCAGCAGCTCCGCCAGAAGGTCTGGTTTGCTCACCCCAGGACTAAGCCTTAGAGAGGGGACGGACCCGTCCTCTCTTCAAGGCTATTCTGAGGCGCACTAAAACAACTGTCGTTCCAAGGCCGAGTTGATTGTCCGTCTACCCGCGCACTCCACCCCTCCCCAACTTCAGAACAACGGCCCAGCGGGGGTGGGAAGCCGCCAAAAAGGGCTGGTTTGCTTACGTCTAGCAGGCTAACAGGGGAAGCTTTGGTGGGACCAACATCCAAGGCTAAACGGAAGCTTTCACATCATCACAGGGAAATGGAGAAAATTTCACCAACCACAACCCACGCCAGAGTATCGAAACATGTCCCTGAATTGTCTATGGATTTTGATTCAAATAGTGTTTTAAGTTACTTACCCCCAGCCCACAGTCCACAACTAGTTTTTTACTCCAATTTATATATTTCCTGCCATATTTCTTGGATTAACTTGATAAAGAAGTAGCCTTGAAAGATGGGCAGAACTAAAAAAAAACTAAATAGCCTTCCATAGATCCCTCCTTCCCTAAGAGAGGGGTCTACAAAGCATAACGACAGCGCCGTTCATGATTCTTCTTAAATACTGGAAATCCTTTAGAGAGAATTGCAAAAATAAACTATGAAGATTTGTAGTAGGATTTCGATCTAGTGAAAAGAAGAAAACGCCAACTTTAACCAAAACTAACGCGTTCGTCCTCCATTCAAGCTATCTCTAGGGAATAGTTTTCTCCTCTATTGTTGACATTGACATGGGGATAGCAATTCATAAACAGCCAGCTGCATCAGTTGAAAAAGAAGCAACATTGACAGGCGGAATTTCCACTTTGAGAAGTCGCATGGAGGTCCTGACACAAAGCGGTTTGCAACAAAGTCGGGATAATTCAAGTGAAACGTTACCCCCCTACATCTGGACGCGCAGTAATTCATCCCGCTTTTATTAGCGTGTTTTTATCGTCCACATGTCAGCGCGTTTCGCTGAAGTGAAAGTTCAAATCTGACCGAGCGCATATTCTTCTATCATAAACCTTTAACTTGGTGTGTCGGTTTGCATGTATATGTACCCACATGTGTGCAAGTGTGTGTCCGTCTGTCCGTCCGCAAAATTAGGGAAAAAGAATCTCATGGACTGCGCAAGCCGCTAAGCCAGCGTTCATAGTTGGCGATCGTACAGCGATTAGGCGAGTAAGCCTACTTCCTCGGTGCATGAAGTGTCGTTCAAATCTATTTGTGCCTCTTCAAAGCATTAACGAATACATAAACATTCCAGAAGAACGAAACTCTTGAGTGGATATCGAGAGCCACAACAGTGGGCAAATCCTATCCAAAGGCCTTAATCTCTGTACGGGAAACTCGGACATTCATTCTTCTCAAGAAGCAGTAGACCTTCGCGGGGTAGATTAACCAGGTGAGCGGGCCCCATTTAAGAAGACTCCTCTAATAAAACAGCACATCTGAAAAAAGAATAGCCCAAAATAGTAAAGAAAACAGCCGAACATAGTAAAGAATCTCAAATTTTGTCAATGTGACTGCTCGCCTTATTTCAAAACTAGCCGCAAATTTGAGCCGAAACCACGGCAACTATGAAAAAGCATCTTGGACGCCCTACCGTCGTTACGGAACAGGATATTTAAATTTCGTAGTGCCTAAGGACTGCGCTATAGAACTATAGTTCTATTGAATAAGATGTGCGTTTTGGATGTGGAACGATCTAAAATGTAACAATTTATCAACAAAACAACTGTGACACAATCACGATCGGATTCCAAGATCCTTGGCGCGAGCCTTCTCGATCTTGAGCTTCTTAGCCTCAGACCTCGCCGACATAATTCCTCCTCCCCAGTGCTTTCGAATCTCCTCCCCTCTCTCATTGAAGTTGGTTGTTACGGTCTCAACAAGCTTTGATAGAGCAGATCTATCTTCACTGTAAAGTTAACCATGTAGTCATGTTGTGTAATATTCACGAAAATAATGTGGCAACAGGAAATCTTACGGGTTGACATCGACGATAGCGAGCGCAGATGTGGTCTTTCTTCTAACAACAGTTCCTAGAGCGGCCTTTCCTCTTACAATGGCGTACGGTACGTTGAACTTGCGGCATAATGCTGGCAGGAACAACACAATCTCGATAGGATCGACATCATGAGCCACAAGAACAAGTTGCGCCTAGAAGGAAATCAAAATTAAAAAAGGAACTAAAGCAAAGAAATGCACTGAAACACTAAGTGACCTTGCGAGTCTCAACTAGGCGAGTGATAGTGTTCACGCCGTGACGGACAGTTGGGGGACGTTTCGTTATTTCCTCAGTTTTTCCAGCAGCACGAGCTTCAGCACGCGCACGCAAACGTTCCTTCTTCTGTTCCTTGGACTCAGGACGATACTTGTTGAGAAGGTTGAAGAGTTGAGACGCTTGAAATAGAAATATTAAAAATGAAGTAAAGAGGTAAAACACCCATGATACATACATGTTTGTTTGTCTACAGCTGTTCTGAATTGATTCACTGGTGGAGGGATCTTCAGACGTTTCTGCAGCACAGCCTTTTGACGTTGGAGGCGGATATACTTCGGCCACTTCACAAAGCGGGTTACATCACGTTTAGGTTGGATATCGCATCCTAGAAAATCATCGCAATAATGAAGCCGATCTTCATCTTTTATGCAGCGACCGAATGTTGGGCACCATAAACCATTATATACAAAGTAGGGCACATGAAAAAGCAATGGAAGGAAATATATAAGGAAAAAATAGAAGGAAAGATATCTTAAATAGGAAGGTTAGCCTTGAGAAAAACATAAATTCCGATATATAATAAGTGCAAGGGAAAATTTATATTGTATGTTGTTTTACCCATGTTTTATAGGCCATTTAAAAAAATATGTATGAGCATTACTTTTTGCGGGTAAACGACATATTAACGAAAAAAATGACAATTTTATGACAGTGACAGAAAGACGAAAGTGATTGAAAGCCTCAAAAGTTGTGAACAAACTTAGCTTTACGTTAACCTAACATTAATTTTACCAAAATAAAGGGGATAGCTTCTCTACTATGACAGAAATGGAGCATTTAAAATTAAGTGAGCAAATCTGGAGGAGTCAATTGGGGAACAGGTAAGACACAGCGAGGACACTTCATTTTCCCGCACATACATCCTACTATATATAAGCGGCTAGCGTGTGTCTGTGTGTGTGTGTGTGTGTGTGTGTGTGTATGTTTGAACCGGAAATTCATAGCTCGAGTCACAGTAACGATAGCGCAGTGGTTCTTACATATGTTATAGGGGGTGGGATGGGGACACAAGTGGTACGTGATAGGAACTGATAACGACTGATAATAGCTGATAAGAGGGGCTAGAAAGCGAGCATCGCCAATTTCGTTTTGCCGTTCATATTGGTAAAGAGCGTCTATACTTACAAGTGTTATGTGGGGCGGTCCCGGGACATTGGTGGTACATGATTGGAAGCGATAGCAACTGATAATGGCTGATAAGATGCGCTAGAACGCAAAGTCGTCGATTCCGTTACCTGGCTCGCGTTGACACCAGAGCAACCATACTTACAAGTGTTATGTGGGGTGGGACGGGGACATTGTTGGTGGGTGCCAGAAACTGATAACGATTGATAAGGGCCGATAAGGCGCCAGAACGCTGAAGTCGTCGATTCCGTTGCCTGGCTCGCGTTGACACCAGAGCAACCATACTTACAAGTGTTATGTGGGGTGGGACCGGGACATTGGTGGTACATGATTGGAAGCGATAGCAACTGATAATGGCTGATAAGATGCGCTAGAACGCAAAGTCGTCGATTCCGTTACCAAGCTCGCTTTCACCAGAGCATCCATGCTCACAGGTGTTATGTGGGGTGGGACGGGAACATGGGTGGTGGGTGACTGAAAGCGATA